GTAGAGTGTACGTTAAATTATTTATTTAAAAAATAGTTACAAAATTACAGTTTTTGCAAAATATATAAAAAAATATAATTTAAAAAAAAAATAACTGCGCCATTCGAACGAACAGGAAATTTTACATACAAAATGTTGATAAAAGTTTTTTTCAAAAATGCGAATTGAAGGCTGTAGAATTTTTTTTCTAACGTACGAAAAATGAGACGGGCGGCCCCCAAGCCCCAAGTATAGCTCTCGAATTGTGCACGGCCCCGAGCGCGCTACACTGAATTTGTTATAACTTTTGATCTAATTGATCAAATCGACCTCACAAAAATTTAAATGAAAGAAGAGTCTTCCGGCTATCAAAATTTTATGTCTTTAAACTTGACAAAAAAAATATATAGAATGTATACAAAGTTACGTCATTCTATAATTTTGTACAATAATAATAAAATAGATGTCATTCTTTTAATTTTTAAAATAAATATCTGTAACTTTACACACATTACTCTTCAAATGACGATTGAAACAGTGAGCGATATAGAAAAAAATCTTAAAAATGAGCCCAACCTATTCAATAATTTTAAGAAATCACAAATTTGACTTATAGATCAAAAACTATATTTGTAAATGTGATATTGAAACTTTATGAGAGCACTTTTTAAAGATTAAAATCTCTACTTTAAGATGGAGCATTTTTTTTTAAATTGAAATAATAGTTGAAAAAACAAAAAATCTAAGCAGTGAGCACATCAGATATATTTTTGTTACTTTATTTATTTTGAAAGCGTTTTTCATTTATAAAAATTAAGTAATTATTATTATAAATGGTATGATTTTGTATAATATGTATATTATATATGAAATGATTTTTATGTTTTCGAATAAGCTGCAGTTATCAGTGTGTTAAAAAGTGTATTGTTTACATATTTGTCCATTTTGAGGTTATACACTTGTAATAATTTAATGTGATATTAATTATAACGTTACGTTAATTATTACTTAATATTACAAATAATCTTCAGTTTGCATTTAAGGTATTTATATTCGTTTTCTTTTATGCTAAACCTGTAAATGTGTGAGTTTAATATTTATATATGAATATTGATCCATTTTTAAAATAATTAATGAATAAATAAATAATAGGGGACGTTGATTTTGATTTTGTAATTTTGTATTTAAAATCGGTGTTTTTTTTTCAATTTTATTGGCTTAAAGCCTTAATTGCCCAGATATTTTTGAAGAAGAGCAAGAACTCGATGAGATTTAAAAATTAATTATTTTGTAATAAATGTTTTTTTTAAATAAAACATATTTTGAATAAAACCTCTTTAGCCATTTATTATTTTCATTTTTCGAACCTCTATATTACAAATATGAGCGAGTTTGATTTAAAATCGATAATTGTTAAATAAATTGTTTAATATAGTCAGCCATATTGGATCAGCCATTTTGAATTTTCATTTTTTGACATCATATTCTTTTTAGCGACATCAAAACCCCTATTTTACAAATATAAGCGAGTATGATTTAAAATCAATAATTGTTAAATACATTGTTTAAAATAGTCAGCCATTTTGAATTTTCATTTTCCGACATCATATTCTTGTTTAATGACCTCCCCTATATTACAAATATAAGAGAGTTTGATTTAAAATTGACAATTGTTAAATAAACTGTTTAAAATAATCGGTCATATTGGATAAGCCATTTTGAATTTTCATTTTCCGACTTCATATTCTTGTTCACCGACATCGAAAACCTCTATATTGTCAATTTGAAAGAATTCGATTTAAAATTCAAAAGGTAAATTTCAAAATGCTTTAGGAAAATCCATGCTTCCCATAATTATTTCGAAATAATGCGTAATTTTAAGCTATCTTGACTTCAGTATAATTTATTTATTTACTTGTTACAAAGTGTGCCGTGAATATTTTTGTTTTTGAGTTGCCAAGGTATTGTAGCATTATAGCGTTTGTCGACGTTCTTAAGTTGTTTCGATTGACGGTTTTCGGTTTTAATAGTATACATTTCTGTTTCTCAAAAAAATTGCTTTTAAGTTTAGTAATGAAGAGTATGCAGACATGCATTATTTGTATGGATTTTACGATGAAAACTCTGCTGATGCTGCTCGCGAATACAAAAGAAGGTTTCTCAACAGAAGACGACCCCATCTAAGCGTTTTTGTAAAAATACACCAACAGTTTAGAAGCCAAGGTTTAAAACCGTTCCGGGCAGTAGTAGGTGAACAAATTCGGCAAAGGCGTGGAAGACAAGAGCAACGAATTTTAAATACGTTTGTAGGAAATTTCCATAATCTCCACGTTTGGGATAATGAAAATCCACGTCTGATTCGACCTATGAGGTTCCATCAAGAATTTAGTGTAAACATTTGGATGGGATTGTTTGGCGATTTTTTGTTGGAATTAAGTGGTCAATTATTTCTTGAATTTTTAACTGCCCAGCATGATAACATACTAGACGATGTTTCTCTTCAACAAAGAATAGACTCGTTTTTTCAGTAAGATGGATGCCCTTCCCATTACTATTTGGTGGTACGAAACTGGCTGAATACAGAGTATCCACAGAGATGGGTGGGTCGTGGAGGTCCAGTTGAGTGGCCTCCGCGATCGCCTGATCTAACACCTTTGAATTTTTTTGTCTGCGGATTTATTAAGGATACAGTTTACTCTACGCCTGTTAACTCACAAGAGGAACTTCTACGACGAATCCGGAACACTGCTCTCAGAATAACTCCACATCATTTGAGAGACGTTAGGCGGTCTTTGATACGTCGCTGTAATTTGTGTGTAGAACGAAATGGCGGGCATTTCGAACAGCTCCTTTTAGGTCTATTTATACAATCAGTGGTTTTTATTATCTTACAATAAACTGTGTGAAACAAATAGCGAGATAAGAAAAAAAATTAAACAAAAAAGTATTTTTGGTAGCTAAATCTGAGAAAAATTTCAAACTTGCCAAAACGCAGTGGCGTACCATATTTTTTTCTATTTTTATCAAGCTGGTATCTTGTGACGCCACTGGGACAAATTAAATTATGTATGTGAGAAAATGAGTATTATTATTACAAGCAAAGTTGCCAAGTTTCAACAAAGTCTAAAAAGGGGTTTTCGTTTTACGAATAAAAAAATCTATTCTCATTTTAAACTTGAACACTGTAAATCGAAAACGACGCATCTATACATATATGTTTACATGAACTTTTTTTTAAAGGACTTTTAATACAAGTTGTGAAAGTCCCGCTACAAAAAACGAGGACACCCTGTATATGTCGTGTAAAAAATTGTACAATTGAATTAATAATTGAATATAACTAATTAATAGGTATGAGCAAATAAGCATAAATATGGGCCGCATAATCCCAAAATGCCAGCTCTTCTGTCTCCTGCTGCCTTGTTGTTTTGTCTTAAGCCGGGTACTCACTTGCGAACTGCAACTGTAACTGCAACTGTTACTGCAACCAAATTCGCTTAGTCGCAAGTTCTCGAGCATCCTTCGAGCTGCTCGCAGCAAGCCACCAGTTGTCGGTTTTCAGGACGAACACAAAGAGATTTTCAGTTGTCACGTAACCAAACAAAAACATGAGTTCGTGGGATGAGCAAAAGGTTTTAGCATTAATTGAAAATTACAAAAACATGCCTGTAATATGGGATCCAAAAAATAAAGACTATTACAAAAAACATTTGAAAGAAGATGCTTGGGGTGACATTGGTTCTATAATGGGAACAACTGGAGATATCTGCAAGAAAAAAATGGTCTTGGAGAAGGGAGAAAGCAAAAGAGAATAAAAGTCGTGGGACTGGAAACGGTAAGTTTTATTTTACAAAAAATTTATCAAAATAATTGGTTAGGTTAAGCATTTTTTTTGCTTATATTCAGTGATTGTTGCTAAACTAATATTTTTTCACAGGAAGAGACGAAATGTACGAAAGCAAGTGGTTTGCTTATAGTGCTCTTGATTTTTTAAAGGACAGATATACGTCACAAAAAGGAACGTCTCAAAGGTATTTATATATATTTTAAATTTGTATGCGTAGTTTTAATTTTTTTTACACTACAGTTAAAAAATTGACTAAATTACTACAAAACTGATTTAGGATAACATTTAAAAATTTATTAGTTTTGAAATTATTGCGAAAATTAAGCCTTATTTTTTGGGAATTTTACTCTGTATCTTTTTTAGCAAAATGTACATAAACATTTTGGTAGAGAATTTAAAAATAAATTTATTTAGTATATTGCAATATTTGCATAAAATAATTTTTAACGAAGTTAAAGGAAATTAAAAAAGTGAGGTTAAACGTCATCCTCAACTTTTGTTTCCACGATAGCTCATTAAATATTAGTGTTACGCAAAAATGTTAAAAATGTAAATATGGTAATTTGGTATTTCCTAGGTAAAAGGTTAAGTAGACGTTTTGGGAAAAAATATTCTAGGTGAGATATTAAGAAAAATCCAATTTTCGCAATAATTTCAAATTTTAATTTTTATGCGTAATGGTTTTGAGATGACAATTTTCATTCATTCATAAAATAGTCTGCTAGTTCTTCGCGATTTTCTTTCAAATGTTCCGCAGACCTGCGTGGAACAACAGATACTGGTAAAAACGTAGTCATACCTTCAATATCGTTTCTCCAGCTACCTGGTGTTAATTCTCCAGTGACACTATTTTCGGTGTCCGTAATACCAGGTGGTGTATAAAAAGATTTCGAAGAGCCACGTCGTAAAAAGTTATGTAAGTATATTGCCGCCATTGAAATAATTTGTGCCTTTTCGGGTTGTAGTAACATGGGCTTCCTAAATACTCTAAATACTGAAGCAAGTATCCCAAACGCATTTTCCACCACCCTACGAGCTCTCGATAGACGGTAGTTAAAAATTCTTTGTCTAGATCCTTTTGGATGTATTCCTGCATATGGTTTCATAGTATTTTCAGTCATAGAAAAAGCTGAATCAACAAGAAAAACCTAAGTAATTTTCCGCACTCGATTTTCTAATTCTCTAGGAAGGGATATTCCCAATTTTTTTCCTGAATCATCGTATTTAGACTACAATTATTCATTATGCCACCGTGTGAAATTCTTCCTTGAGCGCCAATGTTTACATACAAAAAATTGTAGTTGGCATCTACTAAAGCAAGTAATACAATGCTGAAATGTGACTTGTAATTATAAAATTCTGTTCCGCTGTTAAATGGACACTGTAGTAAAATATGTTTTCCGTCCAATGCTCCAATTGCGTGAGGAAAATTCCATAGTTTGTTGAAATCATTCTCTGCCTTCATCCATTCTTTGACACTGGTTGGTATCTGAAAAATAATCTTATGCAATTCTTTTAAGGATAATACAAACAATGAAGAAGCTAACACAGTAGATCAGAACACACAAGAAAATAAAATATCACAATCGCCGCGAAAGAAATCAAAACCAGACGAAAAGTTGCACATGCTTAAAGAGGCATTTGGCATATTAAAGTCTTTAGCTGAAAAATCAAATCTTGCACCACCACCCCCAGAAGAGAATCCCGAATTAAGATCATTTTGTGATTTTATTTTTCAAAAGCTTAAAAATTTGGATAAGCACGTCATAAATTTGGTACAGCAAGATATATTACAAGTTATTTTTCGTGCTGACCAAGGGTATTATGGTTTTGCACAACAGTACGGTAATTTACCACAACCACCGACCTTTTACCAGCAATCCAACGCTCATTCACCAGTTGTAAATGGTACAACTGGAAACCGCAACTTGCAACACAAATCACTCATATTTCCTGTCACATCATCACATTCAGGTCAATCAGTGCAAAACTACAGTACGAGCCCAGGCTCATAATAGTTCGGCCGGTAATAATTTGTAACTATATTTTTGAAGATAATATTAAACTTAAAACAAAGGTGTAAAATTTAATCAAAACTATTACAACTATATTCAAAACTATACTTTTAAGTAGCTGAAACTGAAAATTATAATTAAATTACGTAAAGAAACAAATCAGTATAACAAAAAATGTATTTCACGTGGTAGGTCATAATAGTTCGGCCGCTTATCGTAATTGCCATGAAATCGAGCTGACTAGTTAAAACAAAGCAATTATGAAATATATCAACAAGACAGCTGTCAGTATTAGTTTCAAATCATATTTAAAGCATAATGCCTCGTGGTAAGCCCTTAAGTAAAGATTTTCGTTTGTCCATCATTAATGCCCATAAGAAAGGTATTTCGGCACGTCGAATTTCAGTTTCTCATTCTGTGCCGCGTTCTACCGTTCAAGACATTATCAATTTATATAAAACTACTAATGGAGTTGATCAAAAAATTAAAACCGGCCGACCATCTACAATTACAGAAGCAAATAAAAGAGCTTTACGGAGAATTGTGAAAACAAATCGGAGATCTAACACTAAAGAGATAACTGTTTTATGGAGAGAAAGTATAGCCAAGGATATTTCGTTGTCTACAACTAAAAGGACTATTAGAAAAATAGGATACAAATTTTATAAGGTAAAATTTATTCGTTTTTTTTTTGGTGAAACTGTTGGCATCCAATTTTTTTTTAACAGGCAAAAGAAAAGCCACTACTGACAACTTTACAAAAACGCAACAGACTAAAGTGGGCTCGGGAACATCAGAACTGGACTCAAAGACAGTGGTACAATATAATTTGGAGTGATGAGTCCAAGTTTGATGTTTGTGTGGGCGACTCCCGTAAAAGGGTGTTACGAACATCCAGCGAAGCATTCCATAATGACTGTCTAGTAAAAAAAGTAAAGTTCCCAGCATCAGTCATGATATGGGGTTGTATGTCTGCAAAAGGAGTGGGCAAATTACACTTCATCGATGGAATTGTTAACGCCCAAAAATATAAGGAGATATTGGAAGCAAGTTTTTTACCATCTATCGCGCAATGTGCAGCCGATGACGGTGACTTCATGTTCCAACAGGATGGTGCACCTTGCCATACTGCGAAAACTGTGAAGACGTGGTTTCAAGAACATAACATTCCTGTTCTAAAATGGACGTCTTCTAGTCCAGATTTGTCTCCAATCGAGACACTTTGGCACAACATGAAGAAGCAACTTCGAAAAAATCCAGCGCGGACAGTACCCGAATTAAAAGCTACTTTGCAAAATGTATGGAATAATATTCCACCAGAAGAGTGTGCACGACTTGTGGATACAATGCCCAGTAGAATTAAGGCGGTTATTGCTAATAAAGGCGACGTAACGCAATATTAGGTTTTGGCCGAACTATTATGACCCACCACGTGAAATACATTTTTGGTTATACTGATTTGTTTCTTTACGTAATTTAATTATAATTTTCAGTTTCAGCTACTTAAAAGTATAGTTTAGAATATAGTTGTAATAGTTTTGATTAAATTTTGCACTTTTGTTTTAAGTTTAATATTATCTTCAAAAATATAGTTTCAAATTATTACCGGCCGAACTATTATGAGCCTGGGCTCGTAGTTACCAACAGGAGGCTACTACATCCTCAATAAATGTAGCCTCATCCTTTCCACATGGAACATACGTATCAGACCAACAATATACCCATCAATCCTCTCCACTTGGAGGCAGAACTTCACAAACATACGTATCTCCTTCTCCGCATTCAGACTCACAATCAGTTCAAAACTACACCCATCAATCATCTCCACTTGGAAGCCCAACTTCCCAGACACACGTATCTCCCTCTCCGCACTTAGAATCACAATCAGTTCAACAGTGCTCCCGTCAATCCTCTTCACTTGGAAGCCTGACTTCACAAACATACCTATCTCCCTCTCCGCATTCAGATTCACAATCAGATCAGCAATACACCCATCAGCAGGGTACAACTCAACCTTTTCAACAGGAAACACCACTTTCCTCTCCACTTGGAAGTCCAGGATCACAGTATTCGGATATACAAGATCTAATTTAGTTACATTTGTTTTATTATATACTGTTACATTAAGAGAGAGTAAATATATTATTTAGTTGCATTTAATGTATGTAGGTACTATTATCAAGAGAATAAAGTTTTCATTTATTTACTTTTACGTCTTCTTTTAACCCATCGATGATTGCCTCACTTACATCTGGAATAATCTTGCTAATGGCTTGTTTAGTTATACGAAATAAATACTGCAGACTTGTAAAAGAATCGCCTGTTGCCAAATACCTTAATGTCACTGCTAATCTGTCTTGCACTGAAATCGCTTCTCTCCATGTGGTATTCTTTTTTTGACTCTTAGGACCGATTAAATTAATACAATATTCAAAATCTGTTGGACTCATGCGGGTAAAATTTTTATAATGACCACTAATATGTTGAAACTTCAAAGCTGCAAATAACGAAGATCCACTTCTCTCTTCGTAGATTGCATGGCGCCACCATCTTCGAGGACGTTTCTCCTCAATTAATGCATCTATTAAAAGTTCGGTAGTGAGTTCTAATATATATTGTTCTAACCGTCGGCAGACTTGTCGGTACAATAATCATAAACAAATCACATTTATTACTGACTGACTTCAAATATGATTCACAGAAAGTGGCAACTATAAACATTCTCAACGGTCTTTCATCTATAATGTCTATGAACCAATTCTTAACAAAATTATAAAAATATCATGTTTGGATTAATCTTGTAACGTGTTCTTTGTTGTGCCGAAAGTCAGTGTCTGTGATATTAACACGTTGGCTGTCATATGAATCACCGGTGATACATCATCTCAGGTTGCCTATGTACATTCAGCTGTGTTATAAAGATTCCTCTACTGTACCGAGTGCTTGAATCAGTTCTAGGTCGTTACGGAGCGGAACAGATGTCGCCACCATACTCGGAGTTAACTGTATATTTATTTTGATTGCTTTGAGTTTGATCACCGGTGATTCACACGGTCCATGGATAAACCTTCATCTGTTTTAACACGTGTTACTTTGCCACTTCCATTGTGTAAAGACATGTGTTTCTTTCGCATAAGTTAGAAAATGGATAAAAAAACTGAAGATAGGCTTCTGCAGTGATACGACGATACGCAGTGATTGTTTAGAGTTGAATGACGGTATAGAGGTCACAGAGTCTGAAAATTCGCATTCAGAAAGTGAACAGGAAGAACCGTTCCCAACGTCTGAGTCTGAGTATGTGCCAAGCGGGTCAGAATTCGATGGGGATTAGTCTAATGGCAGCAACAGCGACGACGAAGTACCGACGCCTGCGCCTCCTCAAGTGAGCCATGCTCATCAAATCAATCATTGGATGGACGTAGATCTTTAGAACAATTTTTGTTTACCGGTGAAAGTAAAATCAATATAGCCAATAATATGGAACCCGCAGACTTATATAGACACGTCATGGATAACACTATTCTTGAAATGATAGTACAGGAACACAATAGAAATGCCAAGAGATACAAACCCAAATGGAAAGATGACAAGACACAGCAATAATGTGGTACTCAACTTGCTGAAAGATTATCTTGATCAGGGGCGCACGTTAGTCGTAGATAATTTTTATAATAATATGGAATTGGCTAATATTTTATTACAAACAAAAACACACAATGTGGGTACTCTGAGGAAAAATGTAAAAGGTGTTCCAAAAGATGTCCTAGATGACAAAAAAATGAAAAAAGGAGATATAAAGGGAAAAGAGTGTAAAGGATTTGTAGTGGGTCATTGGAAAGATAAACGAAGCGTAAGATTCATAACGACAAGACTCATTCTAAGAATGACAGAAGCAAGGAAGAGAAATCGTAAAGGTGAGGTGGTATATAAGCCGATAAAATGGGTATATTCTAGTAAATAGGACTGTAATGTATGTTAGAATAGGTAAATTTGAGCCACCCTGTATAACTGTGAGGTCCGGCGAGAGGAAGTTTAGTCTGGAAATTATCGGGCGATAAGAATTGCGAAGTTCTCGTGGGAAGCGAGCGTCGTAGGCTAAATGTCTATCGCGGTGCAAAATTTTATCATTCCAATAGAAACCGGGTACCAAAAGTGAAACCGAGAGGTGGCGCCGGTGGATCACCTGGTGGCACCTTCGGGAATCAAAATTTTGTAGAGTTTGTAAATTTGAAAATTGAACTCGAGACGGCTCGAGAAGAAAATTTTAGTCAGTCGTTGCGGGGCTCGCGGAATTGGAAGTTTCATTTCTAGTGCCGGGCACTAGGCCTTGTTTTGGGTCCGTTGGGACGCCGGGTCGATAGGCGCGGAAGCCGGGGTTGTATTCGGTGGTGTTTGGATTTGCGAATTGGATTAGCTGCGAGGCGAGTTTGGTGAGTTCCGAGCGAATTTATATATAAAGATATTATTATTTTTTGGTTGTTTGTTATTAAATTTAGAGTAACACATAATTTATTTTGGATATTTTTGATAACGTTTGGCCGTCAGGCAAGAAGTAGTTTTATTATCGTCCAGCGCTGATTCCTCTCGCCTGGCGAGTTAGACACGCATAAGTGTGGGCAATACAATGTGGCTCACTTTGCCGTGATGTAAACCTCACCATAGATTTTACTTTTGATGTTTTGTAGCTATCGTGTGTCACTGGTGTTGTGACACCGTGCTTTAAACCGGCACTTGGCTGCCTATTATCGTTCTGGTCTATATACATGTCATAATTTTCTTAGTGTTGAATTGTTTGTTTTGTTGCGCTCCAGCCGCTGTCTTAATTTTTTATTTATACAGGGTGTTTTCATTTTAAATTTGGAAAATGCAGGAATGTATTCCATATCAAAAATTAAGTGTAGTTTGTTCTATAAAAAATTTTTATGAAAGCCTTTATTTTGGAGATATATATTGAAGTTTAAAAAAAATAAACACTTTTTAACATATCTCGGCTATCCACGAGTAAATTTGATTTAAACTTGGTACACATTATGCGTATTGGGGGTTCTCATAATTGACAGAATATTAGTCCTATTGCATTAGCCAGTGGCGTGCAAAGGGATGCGTGGCCCCTTTTTCAAAAAAAAGTACACCATTGAGTTTTTCGAAGAATGTAAAGTAAATTTAAATACTACCATACAAAAGCAATCTAAAAGTTCTCTTGGTATTTTTCGATAATACGCAGCGTTCATGAGATTCTTGGACTATTAAGATTTCAATGCATGAAAAAAATTACGACATTGAGTTTTTCGAAGAATATAATAATAGTATATTAAACAACAAGTTTTAAAACGACTCTTTGCACACGAGCGAGACACATTGGTGGACCGAGCCGAAGGCGAGGTCCACAAGTCGAGCGAGTGTGCAAAGAGGTTTTCAAACGAGTTTTTTACGATACTTTTTATACGACTGCAAACAGAGACCTCAAAAATCAAATTTTAATTTAAATCGTTTTTATTACTAAAATTGCCAACGCATTAACAAAATAAATTAAATACAACTTTTAATTTAACTCGTTTTTATTAAGAAAATTGTTAACGCATTAACAAAAGAAACTAATATTTAATATTTATGGTAACATTTGAACATTACTTCAAGGTTACGCTGGGAAAAGCAGTATTATTGTGCACCTTGTTTTCGGTAATAGAGAATATTTTTGGTGTCGTGTTTTTAATGCAGTTTTTCAGCGAGCGGTTGTTGTTTTCTTGTTGTATTCCAGTAGACGATCGTTGTTCTGGTTCTGTGGCAGCAGAAGACACTGAAGACTATCTTTTTCGAAACTTTCATTTTATTTCTCAAACAGTCATCAACGGAGCCTTCGGTTACTGTACTGGATTTCCACCCTCCATGGCGTTTGAGGGCAAGCAAATTTGAGCCAGAATTGACTAAAATTGTGGCCGATTAACGCCGAAAACAATGTCCCGTGTAACTTTCTGGATTCTCTATCATCAAAAACTTGGCGATTTCCCGAGCCATGTTTCCAATTTTTTGGCTTGAACATTTTCCGTTTTGATAGTTTAAAAAAACCTGCCTGTCTTCAGATTAGGAGGACGAAGAGCACAGTACTTTTTTAAGATAGTGTAAAGGTTTCCTGTAATTGTAAAACACCTTGGTACCTTTGTTTTTGTATTCTTCAGTTTAATCAGCATAGCACTGCCGAAATCTTTGGTGTCTTCTATTTTGAGATAACATAATTCCTCCCTTCGACATGCCCCAGGTAGTCCAACTGCCACCACCGCCTTGATAAGTAAATATTTGTCTGATGCTTTCGTCAAAAACCGGCAAAAATCATCTTCTGTGAGGATTTGGGACTTCTTTGGGACGTAGATTTCGGATTTCCGATTTGCGCTTACAACTTTTTATAGCTTCCAAGATCTATGTTGTGATTGGCACTTAACGTTGACTTGAGCATCGAAAAAATCGTCCATAACGTCGAAGATTTATATTTCTTAGATAGTTCTTCAAAATACACCATTACTGCGTTTTCTGAGAAAGTTTGGACATTTTTGGCTAGTCGCCAGTCCATAAATCGGCTTAACTCAGCTTCATAGCTGCTTCTGGATTTTGTGGGCAGCAGTTCCGAACATATTTCGCTTGCTTTCTGTAAAATCTCTTCAGAATCACACATTTTCACACCAAAACTTCGGGAATTCAACAATTTTTGAAGTATCTAATCCACAAAATAAAGGAGCCGTGACAGTTGATATGAAACTCAGCCAACATGAAACATTGCATAATTTGGGTGACAACATCAAACAAAAATCACAATCTGGAGACGCATGTGCAAAGATGCCATAACCGTGTGCAAAATGTTTAGCACACGGCGCACAGTGGGACGAAACGCCACTGTCGCATTCAAATTACTCTACACCCCACATAGTTCCAACTGTTTCGGGTGAATTTTTTTTCAGAATGTTCGTCTTGAATGTCCCTATCGATCCCTCATTAGGGATTTTTGATTTTGGTCTTAATTTTTTTGAAAATTGACTCCAAAATTCGATTTTTATGAAAAAAACTGATTTTCGGCGCAAATGTGGAGAAGCAATTTTTTAATTCGAAATTTCGCAACCTGGGGAAAAATTAGATGAACCAAAAGTTATTTAGAATCACTCGAGGAATACTCAAAAGAATTTTCCAGAATTTTTGGATATATTTCAAAATTTTTGGATTTGGACATTTTTTGAAATGTCCCAAAATGTGTCCAAAAATCCTGGAAAATTTTTTGAGTATTCCTCGAATGATTCTAAACAACTTTTGGTTCATCTAATTTTTCCTCAGGTTGCGAAATTTCGAATTAAAAAATCGCTTCTCCACGAAAATTTTTGGATTATGACCGTTTTTGCGAATATGAAAATTTTTTCTCCTGACTTTCACGCAGACAGTTTTGTAGTATTTATCAAAACGAAGATTT